GATCTTAAGTTGATTAGCTATTGATATCTATTTGATCTTAAGTTGATTAGCTATTGATAATCTATATTAATATATGTTGACTTTACATAATCCCTTTATATTTTTTTTCTTGTGGACTTTAAATGGACCACAACAGTATTTTTGAAGTGTTTTATATCTAGAAATATAGGTTTTTTCATGGTGAAAACTTATCATTTGGTTGAAAGAGTATCGTACCCTTGGAATTAAAACTTCAATATCAGTATCTTTTAGTCTCATTCTTCCTACCATTCTACAATATGACATTTTATTACAATCTTTATTTAAAACTCTTCCCGCACAACATTTCTCTGACATTTACTAATCTACAAATATTAAAATCGAGGGTTAAACATGTAACATTATAATCTAAAAAAAACTGTTTTTATATTTTTTCCAGTGGTAAAATCAGTAAAAATGAAATCTCAAGTACAAATGTGGTTAAAACTCTCTAAAATGCAACCAATAAACTGTTTCTACATATGACTATTTCTGCATACACAAAACCTTTTGGTTTGGTTCTTGCATTATTAAAAACAAAAATAATAAAATCAAGAAAATACTGTGCAGATTTAGATTTTAGTACAAACTCTTGTAACGATTGAAGTATTTTACACTCAAATTATAACCATGTGAAAATTATATCATAATTATATTATATGCATAAAATTTAACAAATACATATTACAAAATCATATTAAATAAATTAAGTTAAGACACTGATAATATTATTTTAGAAAAAAACTGATTTATTCAGATAAAAATAAAAATACACACCTAAGTCTTAAGGCTACAATAAGATAGAGTTTAGGTCGCTAAATATTTTTTGGTGATTATCTATATATAGAACCTTGCCAGTAAAAAGTTTCATAATTTATTTTAACTATGCTTACAAAGTGAATGTAATTTATCATATTTTTTTAAAAAAGTGATATTTTAACAGGCTGCTGCAAGTGCTAAAATAACTTTTAACACATAATTTTAATTTATTCCACAAGTGGTTACTCTAAGTACATGGAAGTAGCAAAAAATTGGCACAGCTTGTCTGTTGGTATTGAACTGTAGCACATTATAGTTTCTAAATTTTTTTCTTATACTGTGTTGTTTAGCAATTTTGAGGTACAAGAACTCAAAAATTGTTTAAAATCAGTCAAAAAAACCTACAAAAATAAATAAATTGGGTGAAAAACTATTACCCTTAAAACTTTCAGGTGATCATCTATTTTATTTAAAATGTTATGATCTGTTAAAAACTGATAAAATCTACTGTAAGCTCCAGATACTCAAATTTTTTCCATTTTGGTATTAATTCAATTATAACTTTTGAACCGTTTGGTCAATCAAGATGAAATTTTCAGAATTGTATTTTTTTCATACAAGCTGTGGGTGGTCAAAATTTGAAGCAAATTTGAGGTGGTACCCTGGGGCACTTTTGAAAAACTAGGTGATTTCATATGGAATAAACCAGTTTCATCTGGAAACCTTAAAGTGCATATTTCTTCATTATACTTTTGTTTGCTGTTCAAGTATGCATAAAATCTCATAGGATTTGATTTAGAACTTTTAGCTAAGTCATGTTCAAACTGTTTCAAAGCTAATTCAATAAAATGTAGAGTCTTAGTTTTAATAAGTTTATATTTTGCTAATAATTCTAGATTATTTCTGCCTGATGCAACAAACTTTGACCATATTTTTTTTTTTTTTTCAGTAATAAGTTTCTTTATATCAGATGTAATCCAAGCTTGTTGTGGTAGTCCGTATTTTTTAGAATGTGGAATAAACTTGTTTTAGGCCACCGTATATAATTCTGAAAATTAGTCATAATACTGATTGATATTTGTAATCCCAAATACTGCTTTCCAATTAATTGAATTAAAATATTTTCTAATTCTAACATAATCACCTTTTTTATATATATATAACTTGAAATAAATTTTTTATTGATATTTTTAGCATTTATCAAGTCAATATCATATGTGCATGAACAATCTTACCTAAAGGTGGATTTGATTTAAGTTCAGAAACACAATTTCAATTTTCTGTAAATATAAGATCAAGAATGTAAGTTAAACCTTTATCCGTCTTTTGAAATGTTGGAAAAAATACATTTTGTGATAAAAAGCAGTTGTTTATAGTTTCTGTGAAATGAAATTCTGAACTATTTAGATCTGAACATGTACCAGTGAAGATATCATCAACCTATTTTATATTCGGATATATACTTTCAGATCTCCCTCGTCTCGGACATCTTGGTCTCGGAAATCTTGAAATGGCAAAATAACTGTCTAGTTTCGAAAAATGACAAGTTTCATGTTGAATGCACATTGTGTTCTGACGGTGCAAAGGAAAAATTCATCAAACGAACAGACAACAATACAAACCAAATTCACGCTGATTTATGGACGAACAGACTACAATACAAAACAAATTCACGCTCATTTATGGTTCCATCAATATTGGCATTTTCCTTATGCTGACAAATCCGAAAAATCAACGCATCATTAATCTTGCTCAAAAATAATTGACTTGTTTTTTAATGTGAAACTAACACTGACTGACAAAATTGTTGTTAAGCTAGCATCTAATATTGGACTTAGTTTCAACCAAATTGCAAATCTATTGATGCAAAAGTTGATTGAAAATTACACAAAGGTTGTTGCTCCCCAAAAACATAGAGAGAGAGAGTTCGTCAGACAATTTATAGCTCATCAGCTTATGTGAGGGGCAAAGTGATGAAGGAAATAACGCTGACATAATCCAATGGAGGAAAGTTTTCCTATGTGAGTGATGAGGCAACATTTAAACTGTGAAAAGTAAAAAGCTGAAAGTGTCATTTTTATTTCGGTTTCGTACGAGATCTCATTTCAGAAAAATATTGTCTTGTATGGACCGAGAACTGAGATGAAAAAAACCCCAAGATTCTGAAAGTATAATTTGGATAAATAAAGTCCCTGGTCAACAAAAAACCTATAAAAGCACTATTATTGTAAACATGTTTAGCCGCTAGAATAGATTTACAAAGGTTTGAATTGTTTGCTGAGTTAGGAGGTCTGTAGACACAACCAACTAATATTTTTCAAATTCATATTTGAGTCCACACCATATTTGTTTTGTATATTGTTCAATAATTTTAAATTAAGTCAATTTCAAAAGTTATAAAATCTTTTCATGTAACAAACTTCATTATAACATCTCTTTTATTTAACTGTGCTAATACTGATAGTTCATCAAGTATTTTACTTATTTCGTCTTCTTTAAGATACTGATCATTTTTCTTAGCATTTGCATTTACTTTTTTGATTTTTATATCGATTTCAGCTACACAGTACGCGTTTTTCCTTGATTTAATTTCTTTATTTAGTTTTGAATGTTGATATCGATATTACCTATGTGCCACAAGCCTAAATAAAATAAATTTGCAAGATATATATACACTTACTGTTAGTTAATGCTTATATTATTATTTATTAGCAGTCAAGACCTATAAGATTCGGGTCACTATTGATTATGACATTAAAAAATACCTAATAGCTTTGTAAACAAGCTAAAAGGGTTCCTAAAAGACCAAAAAAAGAAAATACACAAATTAGCAATAACATAATAATACAAACAACAACAGTACATACCCATTTTGCAAAGTTACCAGAAAATAAAGTTATTCTTACCCTAACTGTGTCCCTAACCTTAAGTTTTATGTAAACTGTCAGCTATAAATTTATCTATTAATAAATAACAGTATTAATAACTAACACATATAGACAAACTCCATTATAACATCTCTTTTATTTAACTGTGCTAATACTGATAGTTCATTAAGTATTTTATTTAGTGAGGTTGCGTTTGTATATAACATTTTTAGGTTTTTCTTATTGTTGTTTGTTAATCTTGACAATCTGTTATCCCTATTTTCTTCCTGTCTTAAAGCATAATCAAAGGCTCTTTCTGCTAATATTTTATCTGGGGTAATAAATATCCTTCAAATTTTCATGTGAGAATAATTCCTTTCCTGCCCCAGATATAGTATTTCTTTGTGTTTTTTTTCCTTAAAGCGTACTAAAATTGAAGCAGGTTTTTGACTAATAATTTTTTTTTTTAATCTTCTCACAAAGATTGGTGAACATAGTTTTCGTGTTAAATATCAATTAAACCAAATATTATTATATAAACTTCCTTATTTTTTCATTCATTTTGTTCTATAATTGACGTGTTTAGGTTGATTAGTTGTGTTTCGCTTTTTTTTCCACGAACAACAACGCCTGCCCACAAGGGGACAAGTGTTGTTTTTGCCTCCAATGACTTTTCTATTATTTCTTGTTGTGCACGCACTATTACAGTTAGATCAATAGTTTTTAAAGTTTCATTTCCTTTTAATTTATCCATTGTTGTTAAAATTAGTTAATAATATTAATGATGCAAACGGTTTTAATGATGCACTCTGACGTAAATAACAAGTTTTACTTTTAATAATGTAAACTTTTTAACTTAATTTTTAATTTTCCCACGAAAAACAATTTAAAAAAAATTGTATATTAAGTTAAATCTATAATGTAATCGAAAAAACTTTAAACAAATGCGATAAAACCAAAAATTCATGACTTCTAATACTTTTTGTATATATTAAGCATCCAAACCAAAAACACATCTTATCACTTCAATAGCATAAGTTGTTTTTATATTTATAGGGTTTTTAATACCTTATAGTAAAGTTTTTAGTAGATAACTTTTTGGCATATAGAACTGTCAAACAGTCATATGATAAGATAATGTATATATATATATATATATATATATATATATATATATATATATATATATATATATATATATATATATATATATATACAAATAAATATATTAACGAAGAAAAACAACTTTTTCTATGGTACTTTAAGCTTCATGCCTATACAGCAATCATCAGCCATTAAAATGGTTGATGATTGCATGAAATTTCTATTTAATTCCTCAACAAAAAGAAAACATACTGCTTCTAATTCTTTTTTTCTTGCTTCTAGCTCACTAGCAGACACCCTGAGTTGGTCTCGTTGACTATCTATTGTTTTCTTCATTCGAATCATTAATTCAACATCCCCTGGTAAAACTAAAAATAAATTTAATAAACAGAAAAATCTATTTAAAAACTAAAAAACAAAAAATAAAAAACAATAATTGTAAAATTTTAATATACACTAATAACAAAAAGTCAATTAACTGAACAGATTAAAAAAAAAAGTGATGTGGTTTATTCAAAAAAAAGCAAAAAACTTTACTCAAAAAAACTTTACAAAACTAACTTGTTTTTAATAAAATTAAAAAAAATCTTTACAATAAATAAGAAAATGTAAATATAAATATTAAGGATATTGAACAATAATGATATTTAAAAACATTCAGGGTACTTTTCTGTAAATAAAATAACTTTAAGTAACCCCCCCCCTTATTACTTATTGAAATACCTCCCACCCCCGCTTATTACTTATTGAAATACAATCTGGCTTACCACTCTATGTTTACAGTTAATAATTTCAAACACAAAAATAAAACTAAAAGTTATTTATAAAGGTAGTTAAATTATTATAATAAATGAGATAAAAAGAAAATGCTCTTTGAATTTCTGTTTACTACAACAAGGTGGCCACACTTTTTTTGAGTTAAAGGATTAGAAGAATTTAGGAGATTTGTAAAGATTTTTTAGGAGATTTTACTAGGATAGTTGGAAAAACAAATAAAAAAATTAGAATTATTTTGGATAATTTAAAAATTTTTTTAATGAAATTTTATTATTTTGAAATTTTATTATTTTAAAAGTTGAATCTTTGAAAGAAAACTTAAAGTTTAAAAACCAAGTTTAAATCAGGAGATTTTAAGAGTAATTTTGAAATTCAAGAATATTTTAGGAGAATTCAGGTCTTTACAAGAGGTTTTCCAAATATTTGGATATTTCAGGATTTATTAGGAGGGTGTGGTCACCCTGTACATTAACTGTTATTGTTTGTAACCTGTGACATTTAATAAATTTGCTAAAAAAAGTTTTAAATATCGAAACACTTTTTTTAGTTTTGAATTTTTTAACCAAAAATGTTTTTAGAATAATCTACCACTTGATTTCCATTTTAACTTAAGTATTTAAATGTAACCATAGAATATCGCTTGTGGCACCTTTTTTAGCTCTGCTAACATGTTGATGCTTTTTATAATGATGGTCCTTTTGTATTTTCTAAAACTTTTGTAGTATTTTTCAAACAGAATTTTTATAGTTTTTTGATAACTACTGGGTGACCGAGCAACAGTGTAATGCAAAAAATATAAAAATTTGAAAATACACATAAAATTTATTTCAATTCATAACTGACTAGAACTTTGACTAGATGTTTATTCATGACTAAGGTTTAAAATTATTCAATGTGGCCACCATTGGCATCATACACAAGTTGGATACGCCGCTGGAAGAATCTGCATGCATTCTTGACATCTTCTTCTGGAACTTTGGCCCATGCTTTGCATATAGATTTTTTTAGTAACTCGGTACTTCCATGGGGAATCTTGCAAGCCTCCTTCTCCACAGCCGTCCACATAAAAAAGTCTAATGGGCTTAGATTTGGGTTAGATGGGGGTCACTTTAATTTGTCCCAGTACTGACTCATGTTTTCACTGAGAAAATTTTGTGTCTTTTTTGAAGTATGAGCTGGTGCCCAATCCTGCTGAAACACATACTGACCATCTGGATAGTTTCTGTTTAACCAGGGAATGACCTTCATCTTGCAGGAGGTGGATATACTCATCACTGTCAATTTTTTGACTTTTTTTCACAAAAACTGTTGGACACTTTTTTCCATCACTTGCTATCACGCCAAGTACCATCACAGAAGCTGTTTTTTTTTTGATGAAAATGAATACCTGATATTCTCAGGGACTTCCTTTACTTTTTAAGCAGTACTAAGGTACCTTGTGTTACAACGATTAGTAACTTTATCCACAGTGAAAAGTTTTTCATTAGAGAAGATTGTCACACGCCCAGGGTAAGATTTTTGCCAGTTTAACAATTTTTTGCATCGCTTTTTCCTACTTTTTTTCTGATTATTAGTGATAAGATGCTTAGTCACAACAGCTCTAGATTTAAGGTTCAAGTCTTTCATAACTTTTTGCATTGTGGAGTTGGCAACATTGGCTTCCCTTGCCAACTGGCAGATGGAGCGCAATGGATTTTGCTTGACTTTTCTTTTGACAGACCTTAAAAGCTGAGGTGATCATTTCACAGGTTTTGGCTTATTAAAACATCGTTTGATATTTCCTGTTTCATGAAAAAGTTTTCTTACTCAAAAAATTGCTGTTCTGGAGCAGTTTAAAGCAAAAGAAATGTTATCTAGATTTGATAATAAAAAAAAATGTTACATCATAAAATACCCCTTTAACAAACTTGCTAACAATATCACAAAAACCTACTAACAATATCAACAAAAACACAATAGGATCAACGCCCCCTACCCCTACCCCTCTCTCTCCAATTGCATAAAATAATTTGTTAGCAACCTTTAAAAACAATTTTTGGAGCCCACTAGTATGATGTGTCGCATACTTTTTTTTTCTAGATCCAGAGATTTCCATACTTTTGTTTTATAGTAGTAGACAGAAGGACATACTTTTGTTTTATAGTGGTCATACTCTACTATTTAACTCACAAAGAAAGCAGTGAAATTTAGTGCAACCATTCCCAGCTGCATTCCCAGTAAGATGACAACTACTTTTAGATCCAACTTATCAGTCATTGGTAGCCATTGTAGTAAGCTGCATTTTAACACAAGACTGTTGATACAAGAACAGCATATTTAACAGGATGCCATTATGTAAAAACTTCTTTTGTTGAGATGTTAAAGGTTTAGTTGATTTAGCTATAGCATGATGAGATTTCAGAGAATAGTCAGCTGGTGGAATGGGGGAAGGGGGTTGTTCATGTGGTACTGGGTGAATTGTAGATGGTATACTGAGATAGTTAACATTTTGTTCAACCTCTGTCACATTGTGGTAACGTTGCTTCTTTTTCTCTTTTCTACAAATACTATAATGGGCACTGCTCTAAAGAGCTAGCGTCTCTTGAGCCATCTACTAAAATTTATTCTCGATTATCTTGTCATTCAACTAAGTCTCATTCTTTTTCTGTGATCGTCTAGTTTTTTTCCTCGAATATCAGTTCTTTGAAATTCACTGCTTTACTGATTCATATAATTTGCAATTTTTTAAGTTATCTGTTAATCATTATTTTGCTCTTCAAACTTTATCTTTTCTCTTCCAGTAACTTCCAACTCTTATAGTGGTTACTTGCAGCCTTGTTGGAAGCAAAGATGTAAAAAAAACAACTTATTTTAATATATCTTTCTATATTTACTTTTACTTTAATATATATTCTTTTAATATATGCTTATATATTTATTTTTATTTTCTTATATTTTTTTATTTATTTTATTATTCTATTATAATCCATCAAAATTTGTTTATCAATATTCAATTGTAATTTAATTTCTCTTTACATATCATAGGTACAGGAAATAGCATGAAACAATTGCTTGGATAGATTCTGGAGGTTAAAAGTGTTTCAAATCACATAACTTTAAAAAAATTTGATCTTTTTACATAAAAATTTATACTTGCCTATTTTCATTGACAAATACAATTAAATAATTGGAAATATAAAAAAAAAAATTATTAAGTACCTGTAATTATCACTATAAATAAATTTAGACAATTTTTTATATATCTGATTTTGATGCTCCAGAAATCCATTGAAAATATCAAAAAATAAATTTTACACATTCTATATTCAATGATCTTTCAGAAAACCTTAAGATCTGCAAGTATAGGGTTTTCTATATATGGATAACAGAACATGGTTCCACACTTTTGTAGCCAAATAATGTGACTGATTCATCTCTAACTCCCAGACTAGCTGGAGCTATGAAACTTTTAGCATTTCTGTAGTGAAGATGAATGTGCATGTTAAATTGTTTCCATGGCCTAAGAAACCAGGGGGAGCTAGGGAATGTGTCCAACTGCTTGAAGCAGAATTTTATGACAGATTTTTTACTACCTTCCAGACCAACTAAAGCTCTGAAACTTTCAGCATTTGTGTATTCCTGATGAACATGCGTTAAAGTTGTTTCAAGGACAGACAACCACATTTTTTTAGAGAAAATAAGTGTGCCACTTATTTTCTCCAAAAAAAACTATTTTTTAACAAAGATAATTTTGAAAATATTGTTTTTAAAAGTTTTTTTGGTTCATAATTGTTTTTTAATAAATTTATATTCAACGATCTTTCTTAAAATGTTTTCATTTTAAGAAAGATTGTTTAAAGTTTGTACTTATAAGAAAATTCTTATAAACATAAAATTTCAAAAGTTCATGTTTATAAGAATTGTGATTTACAAGTATATGGATTAAAAACATCCATCTAAAATAATGATTTTAACAGAATTTTACATTGTATAATTAAAAATGTTTTTAATTGAAAAAAGTTGATTTTTTTTTCATGATAAATGTAAACAGCAATTTTTTAATTAACTAAAATCCAACATACTATAATATAATATTATAATGTAATAAAACATACTTTTGTGACATTGCATCAATAAAAAAGAAATCACCTTTTTAAAATCATTATTTTAATTGATATTTGCTAATTCTAAAATGATAACAGCAAGTTGTTTTATTGAATAAGAACTATTAACAGTAACAAAAAACATCCTGTTATCATTACTATCCTGTCATCATTATTAGTAAAGAAGAAATTTATTACCTATAAAATTCATTAACATTTTTTATTAACATAACAAAATTTTTTATCATTAAACAACCTTGTTGAAGAATTATCATTTGAATTTAAAGAAAGATAAAAGATAAAATCTATCACTGTTTAGTTTTCCATTATTATGGTGTTTAAGTTGCTTTCATTAAATTAATTACTTTTTTTCATTTTTAATGTAGAAAAAATTGTAGAAAAACTGATTCAAAGAGCCTCTTTAACGAACTTTTCTAACCATCTAACGAACCATCTAGAGCAGTGTTGGGTTCCAAATACTAACATAATTTGTATCATTGATACACCTGTGCACTATGAAACCTCTGGTCGTTTGCCCTAGAAACAATTTTAACACACACTTATCAGGAGTACATTGATGCTGAAAGTCTTAGAGCTACAGTTTGTCTGGGAGTTAGTGAAAAATAAAGCACTATATTCTGCTACAAAAAAGTGGGGACAATGCCCCATTATCCATATATGGTAATTTATATACTTGCAGATCGAAATCCTTAAGTTTTTTAAAAAATCATTGAACATAAAATGATATGTAATTATTTTTTGATATTATCAAGGCCACATGGGTTTCTTGAGCATCAAAATCAGATATATAAAAAATTGCCTAAAATTATTTAAATTGATAATTATAGGTACCTAATAATAAATTTTTAAATTTCTGATTATTTCATTGGATTTATACAATAGCCAGGTACAAAATTTTATGTAAAAATATCAAATATTTTTAAAGTTATGTGATTTGAAACCTCTAAATAAACATTGTGTCTCTGAGAGGACAAGAGGGATCCGGACGATAAAAGTATATTCTTGGATCTTCTTGGAGTTAAAGGTTAAAGCTTTTAAAGAATTTTTATTTTACCAACTACTCTTAACTGTATAAAAATCAACAAAATCTGAAATGGTGACATGGCCTGCGTTAATTGACATGGAATTACCCCTATATGATATTTAAAAATAAAAATATCTTTGTAGTTAAATATACTTTTTTACTATCAAAGCACAATACATATAAATTTAGTGCTGTCAGACTTACAACCTTTACTTTTGTTTAAAAATTTAAAGATCACCATTTAAAAAACATTTAAAAGCATATCATGCCTCACCAGTACAGGGTTCTAACCCTTTGAGAGTCAAAGCTTGCGACCTATAGTGAAAAAATTAAGAAAATGAAATAAAAAAATAAATAAATAAGAAATAGGAAAATAAGCTTATGATTTGCATTCAAGAATTATAGACTTTAAAGATGTTTAAAGATGACTTACAAAATTTAATTAAATTAAAAGATTAGTATTTAAAAAAGTAAAGTGCAAATGAATGTAAAAAAATTTTATCAAAAAATAAAAAAATAAATTATACTAAACAATCCACTCATATATATACATATATATATATATATATATATATATATATATATATATATATATATATATATATATATATATATATATATATATATATATATATATATATATATATATTTTTTTCACTCTCCTACTTGTTAATAATTGTAGAATTGTAGATTGTAGAAATTTTTATATACGACAACATTTTTATTCACAAAGAAGAAGAGAAATGAATAAACATAATATAATAATAAAGAAGAAGGGAAATGATTGAACATATTAAAATAATTAATATCATTCATTATTATTTAAACTAATTGAAGTATAACAGTTTTTTATATATTGTTGTTTTATTAGAACGATTGATTATATTTTAACTTTTGAATGTTGTTTTTTATTTATTATTTAATTAATTACTAAATTATTAAATAAAAATTAGATTTAAAAAATTATTAAAAAAAAAAAAACGTTAGGTTTTTTTTTTTTAGCAAGTTGTTTTTTTGTTTTTTTTATCGCTAAAAAAACATTTTTTTCAAAAAGCCTGTGCAAGACTATCTAGGCGGGCAGCCTGCATAGCTCGCAAAGATGGGTTTAGACTGGCTATTTATAGCTCGTGCACTCATTTACTCCTGCCAAAGCCTATATATATATACATATGCATAATAAAATTTTACACCATCCTTTCAATTTTAAAGGATCATAGTTTATAACGAAATATTGCAAAACTGTAGTCTTTAAAGGGATCCCAAACCTCCGAGACATGTTGTTTTAATATATGACGCAATCTACAGACTTGATAATTTATTCAAGCAAGTTTTATTCCTAAGAATTGCAGTACATGACGTCATTGTTTTGTTTTTTTTTGTTTGCGCAAGAGATCGATTATGTAAATAAACAAAAGTCAATGACATCATGTACTAAAACTCTTAAGAATAAAACGTGCTTGAATAAGTCAAGTCTGTAGATTATGCCGTATATTATGCTGACTTTTAGGCCTAAAATAAAAGATGAGCTTCGACTAAAATAAAAAAGTTATTTCTTGGTATTCATTTATTCTTTTGTTTTAATCAAAAAAATTTAGCCCAAACATTTTTATTTATCATTCTCTTTAATATGAACACAATTTTTTTGGGGATTCTTTTAAAGAGATCCCAAACCTCCAAGACATGTAGGTTTGGGATCTCTTTAAAAGAATCCCCAAAAAAATTTAGCCCAAAAGTTTTTTTTATCATTCTCTTTAATATGAAAACAACATGTCTCGGAGGTTTGGGATCCCTTTAAAGACTACAGTTTTACAATATTTGGGACCCCTCTAATAACAAACAGTTCAAAACTGTTGTATTAAAAATATTAATAATAATAATAATAATAATAATATTTATAATAAAGAATTTGTAGGGTACAAATCTCCAGTCACTTTTCTATATATAAAAAATTCCATTTTAAAGGAGGGCAATTATTCAATCATTAGATTTTAATCAAATTTTAATCAAAAAAACTCAAATATTGAATATAAATACTCTAATATTGAAGTTTGCAACTTTAATCATGATTTTCTCAGTTATTAAATTGTAAAACTTTCACAGTTTGGTATTAAAATGCTGATGCAAAATTTGTTACTCCAAGTTCTCAAATATTCTCATTTATCATGAGGTATACATTATTTTTTCTTTTAAAAATTCAGCATCTTCAAAAATATTCAGATAAAAAAAAAAAAGATGTTGTGAAAGTCAAAATGTTCAGATTGTCTTCTGATATTAAATTGTTATTAGCTTTATTATTATTATTATTATTATTATTATTATTATTATTATTATTATTATTATTATTAACTGCCAAAGCTACAAGAGAAGCCACAGTAAAAATATAATTAATAATGACTAATATTAAAATTTTTTAGATGTAAAACTACTTGGTGGACTTAAGTCTGAACTTTGGACCTAAAAAGTATTTAATGGACTTAAGTAAATAAAGTAGGTGAAACAAAGCTAAAATTTGACTCTAAAATAATTTTATACAATATTAATGATAATTAATAATATGAATATATAAATAAAATAAAAATTTAAATAATAAAGAGATTAAATGGAATAAAAAGGGTCCAGATCCTTTTATTAAAACTTAACCTCCAGATCTTTTTTAAAAGAAAACTTAGTCCTCAACTATTTTTAAAGAAAATTTAGGTTTAGTCCCATTCTTAAAAATTTCAGCTTCATATGATCATGCTATATATATTAAATATATATAAAATATATATTAATTTAGATCTGCTATAAATAGGAGATCTGGATCAAACAAATAAAAGGATTAGGATATAGAACATAATTGACCAAATCACTTTCATAACTATAGATACCTACTAGAAATATACCAACAGAGTTACAAAAATCATAAGATAACTCATTCTGATATGCAATATCCAAAAATAGTGTTTTTGTCTGAATTTTCCAAAAACATAGTTGTCAAAGATGAAAGTAGAAACAAAGGTTATGTCTCATATATTACCTTTATATGTAAAGTAGAAGAGACATCCACCAAATATTTGTTCGAAAAACAGTTCACAACAGAACTTTTCAACAAACCACAGTAAACAGGAGTATCCTTAAAATTAATTAATCTGAACACTGACTTTTATTCAGTTGATATAAAAAATACTTTTTAAAAATATTTCTTGAAAGATATCTATAATTTTTTTAACTAATTTCAACTTTTATTTTTGTTATTTTATTTACAACTTTTTTATTATAATTTACTAATATTTTTTGTTAGCAATATTAAAGTGATTTTAAGTAACTTATTAAAATAAACTTCTTATATATTTGAGTAAGACTGAAACTTAACCTAATATTTAAATCAAATATAAATTACCTCCATCAGAACGAATTTTAACTAACTCATCTTCTCTTTTATCAAGTTCAACAGACAAAAATTCGTTTTCCTCGTGCAATCTGTGTATTCTATCCTCCAATATTTTTTTATCCCCTGAAATCAATTCCTCTAAATATCCAATTTTCTACAAAGATAAAAAACATTTGTTTATAAAAAAACATTTTAAGAAAATTACATTTTTTACATTAAAGTTAAAACTAAAGAAAGAAACTCTAAATATTTATATTGAACTCTACATATGTTGAACCTCTTTTTGTTGTCTTAATATTGCTTCGTCTCGTTTACTGTGTATGGTTAACTGCTCTTTTTCTATAAGCAAATTTTGAACTCTTTCTTCGCAATATTTTTTTTCTTCAACAAGTTTTTCAAGTTTTTCCAAAACAAACACAATTTTTGGCATAATTTCCTGAATGATTTCTTTTCCATATTGGTTTACTATATCTTCAATGTCTTGGCCTATTAAAGTTGCATATTCATAAACATCTGCTACAGTCAAACATTCTTCCATTTTATATTTTGTTTCCAGTTAAACATCATATATTATTTATATATGATATTTTCTATAATATATGCATATTAATTATTGTAAAAATTACTTTACTATTGTATAATTTAGTATAATATATATTTATAATTTTTTTTTTATTGTTGTTTTGCTAATATATATATATATATATATATATATATATATATATATATATATATATATATATATATATATATATATATATATATATATATATATATATATATATATATATATATATATATATATATGTATATATATCAGATATATATATATATATACATATATATATATATATATATATATATATATATATATATATATATATATATATATATATATATATATATATATAAATAGATATATATATATATGTATATATATATATATCTATTTTAGGAAAAAAATTTGGACGGCAGTAGCCCCTCGTTCCGGCGAACTTTAGCGGAAAATCTGCAGTTTTTTCGGAAAAGTAACAATATTTGCCGTAGAAAACAAAAAATAAAAATAAAAAGGTCCCCAAACTTTAATTTGGGCGGTGCTCAAATCAGCGCCCAAATACAGTTGATGCTGTCGAAAACGGTCTAGAATAGCCCCTACATATATATAGTATATATAGGGGCTACTCTAAAAGATTATATATATATATATATAATCTTTTAGAGGTCAGTATCAGGTTGAAAAAAAAATTTGATACAAAAGTTTTACCATAAACCATAGACACAAGGTCAGCAATTTTGTGCCAACCTTAAACAATTCAAGGTTTTTAACATTGCCGAATACTGACTCTAACTCCAGGGGCTACATATATATATATATACATATATGTATATATATATATATATATATATATATATATATATATATATATATATATATATATATACATATATATATACATATATATATACATATATATATAATATATATATATATATATATATATATATATATATATATATATATATATATATATCAATATATATATATATATATTTCCCTTATATATATATCAATATATATATATATATATATATATATATATATATATATATATCAATATATATATATATATATTTCCCTTATATATATATCAATATATATATATATATATATATATATATATATAATATATATATATATATATATATATATATATTTCCCTCAGAATTAGGAAAAATGAGGTCGGCAATAATTTAGAAATTAACATAGAAACGAGGTCGACAATTTTTAGCCGACCTCAAACACTTCCAGATTGGCAGTTAGGTCGGCATTGCCAAATGCTGACCCTAATTACAAGGGTTGATATATATATATCGATTACCTTGATATATATATATCAAGGGTTTGATATATATATATATAACCCTTGATATATATATAAATCAAGGGTTGATATATATATATATATATATATATATATATATATATAGGATCTCACTTCTGCTACAGCATGGGGCTCACAGTGGCTGAAGAACTTTAAATCAGATAAAACTCAACTTTTTTCAGCCAATCGTTATCGCAATAATTTAGACCTTTCTATATTTATAAATAGTATTGTACTCGATGAGCCATCTACCCTTCATCTTCTAGGATTAACTCTTACTTCCGATCTTTCTTGGAAACCATATATCGAATCCGTTGCAAATTTAGCATCTGATAAAGTTGCATCTCTGTATTGAGCTCGATACTTTCTTACTCCGGATTTTATTCTTTATCTCTATAAATCTCAAATTCGGCCTTGCATGGAATACTGTTGCCATATCTGGGGCAAATCTTCTAATGATGCCCTTTCTCTTTTAGACAAGGTGCAAAAATGCATTGTAAACATAGTTGGACCTGCTCTTGCAGCCAACCTTCAACCATTATCACATTGTTGTAATGTTGCATCTTTTCTTCTTTTCTACAAATGCTATAATGGGCACTGCTCTAAAGAGCTAGCGTCTCTTGTGCCATCTACTAAAATTCATTCTTGTGTTACTTGTCATTCAATCAAGTCTCATCCTTTTTCTGTTACTGCTCCTAAGTGCTCCAAAAACTCTTATTTGTCTAGTTTTTTAACTCAAACATTAGTTCTTTGGAATTCGCTTCCTTCGTCTTGCTTTCCTGATTAATATAATTTGCAATCTTTTAAGTTGTCTGTCAATCGTTATCTTGCTCTACAATTGCTACAGATCCTTAAACATTAAATCGGTCCCTAATATTATCAAAAAGAAAAGTTTTTTTAAAGTATGCTATATTGGGTCTCTAATGAAGCAAAATTATATAAAAATTTTGAAAATATGAACCATTTAAAAAAAACATTGATAGAAAAAAATTATAATCAAAAAGTCTTGTTAAATTCCCTATTTAGCTGTCATTTTCTGTTTATTAAATCTAAAATAATAACTTAATTATAAAAAGATTCAAATTTTTGAAATTTTTATATAACTTTGCATTGTTTGAGATCCTACATGGTTCATTCCGTAGCCATCCCTCAAAATATTTTTATAGAAAAACTTTTTAAATCCAGTATTATTACACATTTTTGTACATTATTACACATTTTTGTAACAGTATTGTTACACATTTAAGGGGTGCCAGCAGACTTTTTCAAAAAAAGTTTTTTTTAGAAACACCCTAACATATATATATATATATATATATATATATATATATATATATATATATATATATATATATATATATATATATATATATATATATATATATATATATATATCGTCAACGGGGGCGACTATGAATGCTTTTTAAACATTTTTGCATCATATAACAAAATAGTTAGTCTAATCGCTACTTTTTTTTTTTTAACAGAACATTATTCTATCCAGCTTACTGAATTGGTTCTTGGCATGATAAACATTATAAAGTAAATACATTAATTTTCTTATTTTATGCAAATTCGTATTTTTAAAATGGGGTGAGAATGAACAGCCAATTTGGGGTGACTTCAAACACGACATAAAGTTTTTATTTCTTAGGTTATGGATAGACATATTGTAAGGGGGGGGGGGGAATACTGTTAAAGATCACAGAAAGTGTATTTTAATATCTTGTAGAGTCTTTTATTTCGAATCAACTCATGTGAAAAAAATTAAATTATTATATACTACAACATTTACAAAGCTGCCTTACAAAAAACAGACCATCAATCATCACTATCCTCAAAGGCTTTACATACATGGTGGCCACAAAATTTTAAAAGTAAAATTCCAGGACATTTCCAAGACATTCCAGGACTTTTTTTAAAATTTTCCAGGACATTTTCTAACCTATTAAATGAATATTATCAATTATATTTTCATTAAATTTTTCATTTTCATTGAACAATATTCATAGAATATTTCAACTAAATTAACTAATAACTTTTTTAAATTGACGAAAAGTAATAGTATTAAGTTTTTAATAACATATAATAACTTTATAAAACTTTTCTTTTTGAAAGTCAGTATAAAATAGAAAGAAGAATGTAAACTAATATATTAATATAAATATATATATAATAGTTAAACAATCATACTCTTTAATGGAACTAAATTAAACAAAAAAATATTTACAAAATAGATAAATGAAACTCAAACAATGATTGAATCTCTTTTTAAACATAAAGCTTTTTCTAAACTATCAAGCTCTTGCAATTTTAAAAATTTATCTTTTGATAACTTTCTTAAATCATTTGAAGTGATTATAAAACTTAAATCTTTTTTTTCCTCTGCTTTTAATGCATAACTATCTGCCTCCTTTATTAAATCGTCAGCTAATGCTTGAAGTAGCTTCTTCCTTCGAACAATATCAATTTCAGCGGAAACAGCTTTTCTTTTTAAACTTACAGTTGATAACTCTTTAACTTTTTTTTCACTTTCCAATGCAACATCGTATCGCATTCTAGATGATTTGACTGATTTTATCATTTCTCTAGTAATTGGAATATCTGCAGCATTTTGTTGCTTTGATAGCATCTGATCATGAACTATTCTAAATGCAATTAGAGAATCTTCACCTAAATTTTCAACTAGATAGTCCTTATTTACTTTGAACCGCGTTCAATACCAGCCTGGCCATGAGACAAGCAAAATAAAATTATGCAGACATCCCAAAGAGATGTATATCCATTTACAGGTATATGCTGAGCAAGAAAAATATCCAACCTATCATCATATTTTTTGAATGACAAAAACTATGTATCATGTTTACGAACAATGTTTATTATAAATTAAAAATATTCTTTATTTGCTTTGTCCCCAATTTTTGATTTTAAATATCCAGAAGCTACTAGTTGTTGCAATAATTTAGAAAACTTTAACTTATTACACTCTACTTCTCTGCGATCTGCTAATTAAATTGTGTCCAGACAAGACAAACACCTGACAAGATATTTTATGGGAGATTTTTCAAACATGTGAGTTGCAAGTGAAGATAAAAATATACAAACATCTTTGTAAAATTTATGCTTCCTTTTGATGTTGATAATCTTTTGTATTTTTGAACTTCCATATTGGCAGACAGACCAATATCAATTGTATCTTCTTTTTTGTATAACATTGGATCTGTGAGATTTAGCTTCATTATTTTTTTAATTGTATCAGATCTTTCCATTACATCATTTAATAAAAACATACTTAGAATGCTAACTAAAATGTTTTTTAAAACATCGAATATAAATGGGACCATTGGTTTATCACTTTGAAAACCCTTTAGGAATAGATTTAACTTTTCAGTTATAAATTCAACAAACTTTAATTTAGCAATAAACAAAGGATCTTTTATTGTATCTTTTAAAATATTAAACCACTTTCCATGAGGTTGCTTTGATTTTGGTAAGCTTTGTAAGTGTTCAATAAACTTCAAATACCCAGGAAAAATATTTGCAGCTCGTTCACACCAGTTTTGATTCTCACACCAACGATGGCCACAATAAGGTAAAGGATAAATTTTGTTCTCAGTTACATTTTCATAGATTTCTCTGCGTGAAGGGCATTCATTCAGAAACTTCCACATTGCTTTTGATTTTTCCCTAAGTTTCCATTCAGAGTT